GAAATACTCAGTGAGTGGGGGAAAAGGGGATGTTTGCAAAGCATTTGTCAAACAAAAGTTATGGCATGCAATGGTTCTTATGAAATATTGAAAACAACATGATTCTATGAACATGATATGGTGGGAACTAATCATTCATGTATGGATGCATAACTCATTTCTAATTGTTCTAAGTATTGTAATATGATCAATTAAACTAAAAACAATTTCTGAATCCTAGCTCATCACTAAATGCTGCAAAACTCTTTTATGAGAACTTAAAGAATAGTTGTAAATGCTTATGCTTCTAAAGACAATGTTTTCTATAAATCATGCTACAAACATCGAATGTTTCATATAACTAATGCAAATTATCCATAACTGTTCTGATACTAAAAGTTGAAACTATTAACTGATACTGAAAACTATAGGTTGGTATCTGAAAACTTTAAATTGATATCTTAGTCCGAAACAGTAAACTGATATGGAAGGTTCTTGTAATATCCCACTTGAGGTACGTATTTAAGATTTGCTGTATTAGTTAAAAGTTTATTGTTTCAACTTAAATTGAGTTTGTATGTTGAGTTGGTTGAATTGTTGCCTTGAAATTGGTTGAGTTTTGGTGAAGTTGGAAATCCAATCTTCGCCGAGGCGAAGAATAAGCTTCGCCGCGGCGAGGAGGAGGAGTTGCATTACGGGTAGGTTCTGCCCTGTTTCGCCGAGGTGACGAAAAGTGCTTCACCGCGGCGACGAGCCTAAGACAAGGTTTCTTGAGTTTTCTAGAGAATTTTTCTTTTGGGACACAATGACCATTCTACCCCTAATTAGTAGGAAAAGTGGGGAGTAAAATGAAAGGAAATTTAGTAGAGATTGTGTTTGGATGGGGGTGTATTTGTAAAGAATCAAAGGATATAGATGGAATTTCTAAGAAAGAGCAAGGGAAAATGGGAAATGATGCTATAATATGAACTAAAAAGGGTTAAGTGTAGAGAAACCATTTATTTCTTCACTCCACCGCTCTTCCATTTGCCCATTTTCCCTAATTTCTCCACCCAATCTTCCAAGATTTCTAAGGGATTTAAGAGGGGTTTTGAGTAGAGATTCATCTAAAGCATCTAAGGTAAGGATTCATGCTTTAGATGTGAGTTTTCTTATAAATATAGTGAAGTCTTATTAGGTTGTTGCTGCCTTGTGGTTGTTTTGAGTTGTAGAGAAGAGACAAGTCCACAAAGGGAAGGAAAAGTGCTAAAGAAGTCATCTTTGCACAAGGTAAGTAAATCCAACCAACTTGAGTTTTAAACAAGCTTTTTGAGTAGAGATGTATGCATGATCAGTATGTAATAATCAATGAGAAATTGAATTGAGATGAGTAGTTATTTTGTGTTGTTGGAAAAATTCCATATATGAGAAGTGTTGTTGATGTGTGATAAAATGGAAGTTTGAGATGAAGTTTGAGAGAGTTGTGTTAATCCTTTTGGAAGTGCTTTTCTTGACAGGGATTATGAGTATTTGAGGGAGTTTTTCCCATTTTGGATGGCTAGAGAATGAAGTATAATAGTAATTTTGGTAGAGTGTTTATATGCACATAAGTTGTTTGAGGAAATACCTAAGTGAAATCGCCCTGTCATGCCGTAACTTTCTAAGTGATTTTTGGGTATCTTACGGTTTGAACTGGGCTAAGATCAAAACATAGAAGTTGTAGACCTGTTTCGAAGCTTTGAAACGAGACCAAAACTGTGCAATACGAGGTGTTAGCGTAAGTTATGGTCTTTTTAGTGTGACTTGTGCAGAATAACGATTTTGAGGAAATCTTGTATTTGGCATTTCATTAGTGCATTAGTAAGTATGAGTTAGCTCTACACCTTTGTTTACCCTTGAGAAGTAGCTTGAGACATAGTAGAGAATTTGAGTATAAGTTACTGAAGAGTTAAGAGAAAGAGAATAGAGTAGGTTGTGCGATGGGGAACCCGTGAGTAATGGGTAGAGTATTCCCGCATGTACGCCGCATTGAGAGAGCGGCATGAGTATCAGATAGAGAAGTGGTGTAGCCCGTGAGAGTGCATGCGGATGAGGGCTATACCCGAGTACCCGAGAGAGAGAGATTATAGACTCACATGGCCAAAGGTTCTGAATCCATGCATAACCGCGTCTCATCGGCTAGAATGAGTAGAGATTACGTAGAGTGGGAGTGAGTCCCGGCCGTGCCCCCGGTAAGATGGGGTCGTGATTTATGAAAGAGTTATCAGAAAAGAGTTCTAAGAGAAAGAGAAAGAGAAAAAGAGAGAAATACCCAAAGAGAAATTGAATGAGGAGTTGTAAGGAAAGAATGAAAGAGAGAGTTACGGGGATAGCATGAGTAGAGGATTTACTTACTGAGCATTATTTTAGTGCTCACCCCGTTGTTTTCCTATGTTTTGCAAGACCTAGGTGAGTACACAGTCGGATGGACGTCAGCGTTCGAGAAGGAGTGGTTACACTGTCCCTTATGTTTTTGATGACTTTTGTTTATGTTATACATTTTGTGTAAAAATGTATATGTTTGTAAAGAATATGTATATAAGTTTAATAAAAGAAAATTTTAGGCCCAATTTCTTTATGTTATTTTATATGTATTTCTTTATAAAGTTTTGAGTAGTAGTAGTTATTACAGTTCTCACCACAACTAGTACCCTAGGGAAAAATCTCAATACCTAGTGGGCGTCCCACACACAGGCAAAGCTAGAAAAAACATCTCAATACCCGGCAAGATCTATCATCGCGCAGGTAGAGCCTAAAGAAAACCATCTCAATATCTGGTGGACAAACTCAACGCCTAGGCAAAGCACTATATATCTCAATACGCATGCGCAGAGCTTGAAGACCGAATATCTCAATACCCAACAAATCCTACATCGCATGGGTATAGCCTAAAATTGGGGGATGGGTACTTCGTAGGGTGGATGTAGCACCATAACTATCTCATGCATAATCTCAAGTAACATGTAAGTCGAGCATATTATATAAGTGCTTATAAATCATGCATATATGACATAATATCCAAAAAAATCACATACAGGGGTGAAACAGTAATTTTTTTAAACATGATTAAAAAACTAACGGTTTAGCCCAGATCTAGAATTTCTTCAACAACCCATCACAATGGCACGTTCGATGCCACTCTTGTGCAAGTATCACTTTCATACTATAAAACACTCAAAAAATTTTTTGACAAGATTCACATGCTGCACATTACCCCAAGCATATATATATGTATGTATAACATTAATCCCCATGAATGTCATCCAATCACCAAATGAGAAGTACTTTCTTTAACTCCCAAGACTCACAATTTCATACTTCCTATAAAATATTACTCAATATTGAATACACTTCCACCCAAGTTACTTTAAATTCGAGAATTTGAGAACACAAAACAACATATTTTCTCAACAACATTCCAGCCACAATCACATGCATAAATTGAACAAAAATGCAGCCATAAACACATATGAATCCAACCACCATTACATGCATAAATTGGCCAAAAATGCAGTCCAAAAAACGCATGTAATCCCAACCTCCATTTGCTTTAATTGGCCAAAAATGTAGCCAGCAAACATCACAATTGAAAACCCAAATAAATCATGAGTAGAAGCCACATGCAGCAAAATAAACCACCTCCATTTCATGTTCACTTCACCTACTTCTTTTTATGCATTTGGTCATAGTAAAGCAACCCCATAACCATAAATTTTCACACAAACAACCAAATTTCAAAACATAGAACAATCAAACAAAGAAATATACCTAGCCAAATACCATACAGCGAATTTTAAACCCAAATTCAACATGCAGCAGCATAAACTAGCAAAGTTTCATGCTTACAAAAAGATTCCAGCAGCCAAACACAACCAACACCTCTTACAAGCATTTTCACCATCATTTAATTCCATGTGAACAGTACATAAATATACATGTAGCATGCAGCATGTAATCACATACTTTAGAACCAAATCTAGTGCAAAATCATCCAACAATTAATTCAGCCGAAACATGCAAAGTGGGATTTAGCAAATATCACAATTAACTAACAATTTTTGCACCAAACATTTTAATTGAAATTCATCACTTGACATGCAAATGAAATTGAGTTTTTAAAACAAGTATTTGGAAATCCACTCACAAAAATTTCAGCTCAACCCAAAATGCCCAGTTGCCTCAAGCATCATCCCTCTCTTCTCCACCGAACAACCCAATTTGACAAAATTGAATTAGAATTACATAAATCGAAGAAAATGGTGAGATGACTCACTCTAAAAACTACATGCATGATACAATTTTTGCAAAAATTCGTGTGATCTCCCTTCATGTTTACTTGGCCGATACTCACCTCACTTTCTCTCCCTCATTTCCTTGCTTCTCTCTCTGTTCTTTTCCTTCTCTCAACTTTCTTTTTCAGTTGGGCGAGCAACCCAAATTTATATAGAACAAATTTTTTTTCACAACAGCCCCCAAATTCTCTTAATTCTAGTATAACCATGCCACATCATCTTTTCCTTGCAAAAACCTCTAGAATTATGCCCTTGCTGCTGAAAACCCAATAGTTTCCATTTCTTCGTTTTCATCCCCAACCAAACTTTAGAATTCGACAGAAAAGTCCCTTCTTATAAACAAAACCAAAGAGAATATATATAAAATTAGAATGGGGTTTTATAGTGAGTGCAGTATGCAAAGATTTCCTTTGAGATTGGGGTGAAGAGATATGAGAGTGGTTCAAATAGCATTGCTTTCATCAAGGTCAGAATTATATCCCCGAATAATGACATTGTTTCGAAAGAAGGCAAGAAAAACCCCCAAACAGTGTGGTAATTGTAATAAGTTGTGTATTTGTTGCTTTTATAGTGGTTATTTTACCAACTTTCGGGATTGTCATCCTTAGATATCATGTCTGGTCATATAAAAAAACTCAAGGAAATGGTAACTTCAGATTTTGTGAGGATATAGCTCCCATATCGTTTACTTTTACAGAGATTGAAATACTAATGGAAGGTTTTAAGGAAGAGATTGGTAGAGGATCTTCAGGAACAGTTTGCAAAGGGACTATGTTGAATTCCCAAAAGTTTGTAGTTGTCAAGAAATTAAAGAAGGTGTTAGTTGAAGGGGAAAAAGAGTTTCTAACTCAGATTCAAGTTGTTGGGAGAACCCACCATAGGAACTTAGTTCGTCTACTTGGTTATTGTTTTGAGGAAGTCAACAAGGTCTTAATATATGATTACATGAGCAATGGTTCTTTGGCTAATCTTCTCTTCACACCTGAAAAACAACCTAATTGGGTTGAAAGAATGGGCATTGTTCATGAGTGTGAGACTCAAGTCATCCACTGCGATATAAAGCCTCAAAACATATTCATGGATGATAATAGGTGTACAAAAATTTCTAACTTTTGATTAGCAAAGTTGTTGAAGTCAGATCAAACAAACGATTTTACCAAAATTAGAGGAACAAGGGGATATGTTGCACCAGAGTGGCATTGAAATCTGCTAGTAACTATTAAAGTAGATGTTTACAGTTTTGGAGTTGTACTACTGGAGATCATATGCTGTCGTAAAAGTATGAACCAAAATCTTTAGAGGATAAAATTATACTTGAAGATTGGGTATACTAATGTTTTGAGTCTGGTGAGTTGAGTTTTTTTGGATTACTAAAGTTGAACTTTGGTGCATTCTTGATGAACCATTGCTTCGCCTTTCGATGAAGAAAGTTTACACATGTTAGAAGGGACTGTTGATATCCCAGTACCTCTTAATCCTGCTTCTTATCTTACTTGCATCTAGCTCATTTTTGTGTATTTCAATGTCTTTAGCCCCTATTATGCCATTAAAATAGAATATAAAATGTAACTCATTCTATGAGTATAAGTTGAATTTAGTTTATTTTAGTGTTCTCTACACTTTCATGTAATAATATATTATTACATAATGTTAACAAATGATCTTTTAACATGTAGCAACCAATTAAAAATAAGGTTAATTAGCAAGACTCCTTTCAATTTTTCATACACAGATAGCAGATTACTATCTTACAAGCCAATAATATGATTCTATGTGTCATATATAAATTAACTTGTGGTATCATAGATTTTCTATTTGGATATTAATCACCTATCTAATTAACTTGATTATGTCAACTTATAATGGACACTCATAACTACTACACTGTTGAATTTATACATTTTCTCCTCCATGTTAATATATTTATTATTTCAATATACCGACCAGGTTGTTGGGGAGAGAGTTGGAGATTTAACTCATGTTAGAGTGTGGTAACCCATTTTAAGTGCAGCGGAATAATTACCAAGTAGATTTTAAATTTCCAATTTAAATACATCAAACACTAGTGCGGAAGATAAATAACATAGCCAAATACATGGTTCCGCTAAATCCACTTTTAGCCTACATCGATTGGACCTTGTTTAGATCAAAGCAATCTACTAAGTTAAAAACACATTACAATATATAGTTCAAAGTTGATTTAAGTTACAGTAAAAAGAACTCCCTGCTCAACTTTACACTTAGCATCACACTTTGAATCCTTAATGTGTAGCAACTCCTTGGGCATTCTTCATGCTAGGAACACACCCATGAACAACTTGTGAACCACCAAGCTTCAAGAACTAACGCCATGCACCAGCATCAGCAAAGGAACCACGTTCCAAGAGCCATCAAGACTATATTTGATATGGTGGGGTTTTGGCACAAAAAAGGAAATGAACCTTGAACCTTAAGAGAAGAAATACTCTATGAAATTCAGGGTACAATGAAACAAAATATCAAAAGGTTAGATTCATACACGCAAGAAAGGGTATTATATAATGAAGGGTTTCTTGCTCAATAATATAGTGCCAAGTAAGCCAACAAGAGACTGACGCATGTTTGTCCAAATAAGGAAAGTATTCATTCTTTTGGTTTGGACCACAAAATAAATCGGGAAAAGAAACTTTATTCCCTAGGACCACTTGAGGATATTATGACACATTTAAGAAACTCCTACAAAGTGATAGACAAAGATAAACAATATCTTTTTCACTTTATCAGACATGCAACTCGAGTTGGGTTGCAAATATCTAAAATGAGAGCAAAAGCACAAACTGTTGTGCACACACACTCTAAACGAAACGAGCCAAGACTCAAGTCTGGCAACCAATGTGCACATAGAACTTATGTGTACACACACAACTCATAAGTTTGAAAAATATGAGTTTTTTACATTCCCCCCCTTTGTCAAACTTATGAACAAAGAACACACACACACACACAAAAAGAGTAAGTGCAAACCTGATTTCAATCAACCAATTAAACCTACAGATTTGCAAAAACAAACATACAAACCAAAAAACAAAAAAACAAAAAAAAAAAAAACCCAAAAGCAACACAAATGTGAACACTTGGTTAGTAGATAAAACAAATAAAATATCAAAGAAGGATAACTAAAGAGTTATGTAAAAACAAAACAAAAATAGTAGAAAATAAAATAACAAACTCCCCCATGGAGAGATAACGACAAACAGTTCACAGTTTAGCAAAAAAAAAAAATAGAGTTTAAAAAAAAATAAAGTACAAAGTTCACTCCCCCATTTGCATTGCTTACTCCCCCTTTTTGTTCATAAGTCTTGAAGACTTTTGAGAGGGTGGTGAAGATTGCTTAGCCTTCCTCTTCACTCTTTTCTTGAAAAAAGCAAAAATGGTAATATAAGCATCCTCTACTTCAATATCTGGAGCAGCAGCAGAGGAGGTATTAGCAGTTTCATGCTAGATTGGAGGGGCATCTTCAGTGCACACAAGGGTATCATCTTAAGCAGCTACATCTTCAGGTGCTTCTTTGTCTTCTTCATTAGCAACCGCTTGCTCCTCCTCATCAGCAGCTTTGTCATCTTCCTCATGGGTAGCGTCTTTGTCATCTTCATGAGCAGCCTATTCTTCTTCAACTTCATGAGCAGCTTGTTCTTTATCTTGAATCACAGCTCCAATATCTTCAGCAGGCATGGCAGGAGCAGGAGCAGGAGCAAGAGAGACAATAAGAGCAACTAAAGCAGCATGAGGCACCACATTTTGATCAGCAGGTTCTATCAAAATAGGGGAAAAGTGTTTCTTCTTCTCCTTTTGCTTTTTCTTCAAGTCAACCTCCAATTTGCCCATCCGAGAACTGAGAGAAACGTGAATTTCCTTCACATACTGAAGAACAATCTCCATTGAAGTTTCTAAGTCCTGTATTGCAACAAAAACCTTGGACTGCCAAGTGTTAGTCCTTGATTGATCAGCTAAGGAGGTTGATGGTAAATTCCCTATAGGTTGTCTAAAAGGCTTCTTGGTGACAATCTTTATCTTCAAAATAGGCTCTACTTCATAGAACTTAGGCTTGTAAGTGGAAATAATCTTGTAAATCAGGGAAGGAAAAAATAGAATCTGCAGAGAATGAGTGGACTGTACTACCACGCTAACACTAGTGAAGATCAAAGCAGCTAAATTTATCTTCTTCCCTTGAGCAATTCCATATAGGAGTGGTGCTCGTTCTGATCTAATAGTTGAGTTATGCATGGAAGGAGACCAGTTTGTTAGAGAAATCTTAAACAACAATTTGTAAAGAGGTGTGAGCACACTAGTTTGAAGAACACCATTCCTAGGCCATTTTGCAATCGAGCCACCAGTTATTACTTTGACAATTTTGTCTAAATCTAAACTTTTCAAGTCAAAGTTCTTCTTGCTCTTTTTTAGACCAAGAGCATCCCTAACAATATTTTTAGTAAATAGAATCCAATGTCCTCTAACATAGACTCAATCATTATGCACATTCGAATTCGGTTCAGCATTTTCTAAGCCAAAATTGGCGTAAAACTCTTGAACAAGAGTTTGGACAGGGGCAGTCAGACTATGACAGTTCCTAGCCATTTTCTTTTCTTCATCATGGCATGGAATTCATCAAAATCTTCTAACATAACATTCGCCTCACTCACAATTGTTTTTTTGACAATGTGGCTCATAAATTTTATTATCAGTAGTGGGTAAAACAAATGGAGAGATATTAGCAAATGATGGTTCCTTCATGACAGCCTTTCCCTTCTTCTTTGCCAACTCTGTTAGAGTTAGAGGCTTTGATGCGTGATCTGAGAGTGGGTATTGGAGTGTTGTTTGAGGTCCTGTGAGACACTAAAGGGGATTTTTTAGGCGACTTCTTTGGTGAGGTAAGGGCTAACTCTTTTGGTGAGAGCTCCGAATCATGGTGATCACTAGAAATAGGGGATGAACCAAGGGTGGTTGAGTGATTTGATTCTTCCTCTTGATGTTCTTCTTTAGAATCCGAATAAGTCGCTGGAGGAGTAGGGTTTTTCACCGGCATTTGACTATGTAGTCTCACCCTTTTCAGTGCTAGGGATACCTTTTAAGAGATTCTTCCCTTGCTTTTCTATGCGGGTCTTCCATTGCTTTTTTCCTTGAATCCATGAGAAAACAACAAAAAATCAGTGAGAAATTTTAAGAGAAAATTTCATGAAGACAGAAAAACTCAGGTGGTGAAAAAGAGTTATGGAATGTGAAGATTGACGCAAAAAAGAAAAAAAAAGGTTTAGGGCTAACATTTATGGCAGGCGTTGATTCTGATGCCCTAAAAAGAGTTATACCAAAATTAGAACTCTATCCTAAGTGAAAGTATATATGCAATTGTGTGAGCACACAGCATCCCAAAAGAACATCAAAAATTTTTAGAAGACTATTCTTTATTACAAAAATTTTTAATAACATAAAATTAAAATTATGAAATGCTTCATATGAATTTTTGAAGTCAAGGCAGTCAGTCTCTGCAAATCATCATAATGTATCAAATTTTCAATCTTAAAAGGCACAAAACTCATACGGAAGTTGTCAACATAATGCAATCAAAACAACACTTCCTCAATCACACAGAAGTGATATAAATTTCCAAGAGCTTGTCTTAGTGTGTCATAGTGTCCTCAATGGGGTAAAATGACACATTGGTCAATTTTAAATTTTGCAAGAGAAACTCCCCCTTCCCTCATGCCCTATTATATTTTGCATTTTTCTTTTTTAGCATAAAATAAGGATTTTTCTTTTCATGTTTTTTTTTTTTTTTTATCAAAGGGAAAATAACTCTCATAAATGTAACCAAAATGTAGCTTTCACACTTGCAAGAAGGTAATCCTCTTAATGGTAGATTTTCCAAAATACAAGGTTTCTACAAATCAAAAAAATTACTCAAAATAACTTTCACACTTTAGACAAGGTAGCTCTTTAATAATGGTGACAAGAATGGACAATCAACTCATGATGAGATAAGGACATGTTATAGAGAGTCTCAGTGAACACAACATACCAAAGTTAGCACAAAAATAAGAGAAAATTAATTACAATTAGAGTGCTAGCAAACTTCCAAGGGA